AATCGGACAGTGTATTCTAGTGGTTTTGGGCCATTCCTTATTCCTTAGCAGTAGGACACTGATGATTATAATGATTGAAAATTCACTAAAATATCCTGTAACTATTTAATATCCTACTCACAAAAAAATACGGTTCAATTCAGAACCTCCTTTTTTTAATTGAAATAATATAAATAATAAATATAAAATAATCTCACTAATATAATTAAATTGTAACTCGACCATGTCTGTGACGTGTCTGTGGCGTGATATATATTAAAAAAAAAAATAATGGAAGGAGTTTTAATTGGACTAATGGAAGTCAAAACCATCAATATTAAAAATTTTATCTGTCTGTATATTTGTATAAATTATGCAAAACCTGTGTGGTTCGGGCATAGAATAGGCCACCCCTTCCTTTCCCGTGGGTGCCGTAAGAACCGACTAAGGGAGAGCGAGGGATGGGCAGCGGCGTCCCTCTTAAATATCTCTTAAGCCTGACTGCAGTTGGCAATTCGCCTGCCAAGCGTGGCGACTACTGGCAAGACTCCCCAATGGGGGAAGGTTTATGTTCAGCAGTGGACAGACAACGGCTGAAATATTGATTATTACTTATTATTTAAATTATTTTACTTAATATTCATGTAATGTTCATATAACAACATTTAGTCATACCCAGAATATTTGATATCCTGACAGGATAAGCAAGCTGAAGTGGCAATAACCTGGTCATATAACTCAAAGAACAACCGATGAGAAAGAAAGGTTCTCTCGACCCCGTACAGACAAACGCAGTGTAGGACGACCCCCTACTAGATATGATAGAGCGACGAACTCAAATACATCACGGAGAGTCAATGGATGTAGGAGTCTCGTGACTGTTCCGTAGTTTAAATTCGTTTATAGTTTTGCCATAGATTGGGTGTCTTTGTACAAAAGTCGATTGCTTGGATACATCTGTCCCATTCGTGTTTCAACCGTGAAGCAGTTGTGTTTGCATGGCTGTGTTTCGGTTTGAAGGGTGAGATATGGCGTGAATTTACAGGGTACAGAGGAATAACACCTGAGTCCTCAGGAATGGCAATGCATGGGGGATATCATGGGCGAAACAGTATATGTGTCTGTTATGTCCATGGTACTGCTCATGTCTATAGGCGACGGTTACCACTTTCCATCAGGTGAGCCGTCAGCTTGTTTGCTATTCTAAGTCGTATAAAAAAAAATCTATGGGAAAAAGCCTATGTTCATCCATAGACAGTTAACTGCTGGAATGATGATGATGATGATGATGATGATAGGTAGATGAAATATAAACCTGTTACATCGTAACTAAATAAGTTCAAATCTGACCGACACCGACGTTACACTACAAAAACTATACGAATTGCTCCTTTTTTTATACAAGGCAGTTAACGGCTAAAATGATTATAATATAAATATAATTGGTTAAAAAATTCTATCTTTTATACAACTTAGAACAACCTGACGGCCCACCTGATGGAAAGTGGTAACCGTCGCCTATAGACATGATCAGTACCATGGACATAACAGAGTATACTGTTTCGCCCATGATATCCCCCATGCATTGCCATTCCTGAGGACTCAGGTGTTATTCCTCAGTACCCTGTAAATTCACGCCATATCTCACCCTTCAAACCGAAACACAGCCATGCAAACACAACTGCTTCACGGTTGAAACACGAATGGGACAGATGTATCCAAGCAATCGACTTTTGTACAAAGTCTCCGTCTGGTACTCCCTTTCCAACTGCTTTGTGTATTATAAGATAAAATAATATATTTTAATCTAAGTACAATCCCATGTGAAAAATGAATTTTAATAAAATTAAATGGTCAATCGTCAAAGTGGTATAAGTCATAAACTGCCAAAAACCAGTTCAAACTATATTATGACTTCAAAAATTTTATATACTAATTTGTTCGTGTTATTCTCACTTCCATCTGTCGTTATCTACAATCTAATTACGACGAATGTGTCCATAAAAAAAACCGTCGTTAGTCCAAACATTGTAAATGACGAAAAACACAACTATCCACCAAAACAAGTTAATTATAAATAAACTTATAAAAATATCGCCACCCCGTCGGCGGTGGGCGGGGCGGGGCGGCGCGACCTCTGACCCGCCCCGCACCCCCTCACCTCTCCGGGCAGGCTTCACCCCCGCACTTTCACCTCTGCCTCCGGGGGTGAGAGTTCCGTACCTTGTAAGTTGCCTTTGTATATACTTATAAATAAGTTTGGTGTTCGTAGACACAAGCGTATTAGCAAACAAGTAATAGTCACATAGTTATTTCGGTAAATTTCAAAATAATACACTTACTATGCCGTTGATTAATTAATTAACTATATAACATTCATGCTCTATTCGTATTTAATTAAATTAAATAGGCTAAACGTTACGAAACTTAAGCTATTGTTGCGTTTAATGTTATTTCTAAAACTTATTTCCTTGATATTGTCTTAAATCGTAATGTATTGTGACAGTAGTTTTTTTTTTTTTTATTTAAATAATTAAGATTGTGTTTCACGAAAGAACCGACTTCAGTTATTTTCAAAGCTAAATTAATGAAGCGATATTGATAACATTTCTATGGAACCAGTCTGTAAGGACATTTCAGATGAAAAAAATTTTTTTTCAAATCGATTGACAAGAACCAGTCTGCAAGAATATATATTTCAGATAAAAAGAAATTATCCAAATCAGTTTACAAGTGTAGTGTAGTGGAGTTATGAAGTAATAAATATAAAATACCAACAACTGAATAGCAAACCTTCTTCTTTTTAAAGATGGTTGATATAAGAGAGACATACATTTGACAGAAACTAATAGGACTTAATTTTTTTTTAAACATTATTATTTTTAACTCATAAACTAAAATGATAAAAAGATGATGTAATTAAAAAGTTAATATTCTTATAAGGATATTTATGAGTAAATTTATAGCCACATATAAAATCAATAAATGGACATCCTTATAAAACAATGTTTTTTTTTTCTTGTTTCTTTGTCAAATATTTCCTTACAAAAAATTGTTACTGTTGAATACTGATTTCAATTTATTTTAATAATTTTTACTAATAAAAATTGGTAAAATAATTTTTGATAAATATGAATATGTAATGGTAGTTATTTGACTTGCATGTAATTTGATCGGGAAAATCTCAACTAGTTTCGGGACCATGCAGGACCCTTAGTCTTAAGCAACTGTGACGCAAGCATTACATTAAAATACAATGTGTACTTACGAACCTTTTAATAATAAATATGAACATTTTATTTTTTTGTAATAATAACTCCTTAAATATAAATAAGTTTACATATATAATTTAATGCCACTTTAATGAATTGTGGCATGTTGATAATAAATTCTAATAAGATTAAACAGTAGAAATGTACATATCATGGATATTAAATAGAAATATATTTACTTAAATTTTCAAAAATTGTTTTACTTATTTTATGAATTAAAAGCGATGCAACTCAATACTTTCTTTTTCTTAGTCCAATAATTATTATCATTAGTTTTCAATGAAGACAGTTCTATCATTGAAACTCGCTTTATCTGCAAGAACAGGACCGGATGTTTGGGTAAATTCATCAAAACATATTCTAGCAAAGACATGTCATATTACTCATTAGAAATTCAAATAATTTTAAGTTTTCATGTTAAAAACAAAAATCCCGAGTGTACAACGCTAGCATGACACGTCACACGTCACACCGAGCAGACGTCACATTGACAAGTGCTCCGCGGCTCCCCCCTCCGTCGCGGCCACGCCCCTGCGCACGCGCCGCCTACCGACACTGATCTAGATTGATCTGGATCTAAGTAGTGCGCGGTGCGTACATTTCAACTTCAGTTTAACACAACTGTTTTTTTTCAGGAATGGAAATTACTTTGTTTCGTTTATTTGAATTAAAAAATATCTATTTCTTAGAAGTAGGTAACCTATCTACTAAAAATATTTTTATTTATCCTTACTATACTAATATCAGTTATAAATGAAAATGCAATCGTCCATTCATCATATAATAAATTATTATTTGTATGTTTTAATTACTTAAAATATTAAACCGATTTGGATAAAATTGTGTCAAATGATAGCTCAACAGTAGTGAGTAGGTACTCACCAACACGTCAGCATAGAAACTTTATAATAAATAAAGTCACATGTGTCCTCTAGTATCCTTACTAATTAATATTACTTTATTTTTATTTTTTAAAATTATAATGTCTCTAAGAAAATATTTTTTTAAAAAAGAACAACTTAAGTCAAGTATTATAAAAACATTAATTAAGAACTAAATCAAATATTTTAGTACATATTCGTCACTATAAATATAACGTTAAAATGTTACGACGATAAGCTTCACCGCTACAATATAATTTCCTTCTTAGATACTCGTTCATATTCACATTAAAAGTGTCTCAAGTAAACGTACACATACAATGTAGATAGCTGAGTATATAGAGTGCCTATCAGCCGAGCAGAAATATGGAGGCAGTGGGAAAGTTGATACAAAGTAGGATTTTCAGGTAGCGTCTGAGTGAAAAGCATTCGTACATCTTGAATATTATTCACGAAGTCGCCTTTCTGAAAATTATTTAATAAGAACTTAATAATGTAAATGATCTAAATAATCTATATTAAATACATAAAATAAAAGTTTTAAATTATAAATGCACATTTAATACAATTTAATAAAACGAATATTATAATATTATTCAAGAATTTTAAATTATTCCGAAAGACTCCCGAAACAAAAATACGTAAGTGCAAAATTACAAAAAAAAAACGAATGTTTAAACACATGCGTTCAGTATAAATTTTCTTACCAACCGTACTTGGCCACTGAAAGATTTTCACCCCCTCCGCGGGGAGGGGGCCGCGGTCGAGGTGGCGGGGCCTTCGCTCCCTGCCCCTGCGGGCCACCGGGCCAATGGCGGAGCGGCGCGCCCTGGCCCGACCTGAGCTCAGTCGCGACTGAACCGCGACCCTTGACACACAAGCGCGTCGCGCGTCTTCTGCCCTGTGACGGCAACCGGCATCATCACGCACGGAGCGCTAGTTTACGGCGGGGTCGGAGGCCCTGGGCTTTGCCCTCCGAGAGGCCCTGACCTCCCGCCTCTCGAACTCGGCTTCCGCGGCAGCTGGCGGGAAGACGAGCTTCTTCCGTCTACTCCCGCGAGTCAGGCCGCGTCCACGCAAAGCGGCTCCTCTGCTACGGATAAAGGGCAGAATGTGGAGTGTGTGGTCTGCGGGGATAAGTCCTCGGGGAAACACTACGGCCAGTTCACTTGTGAGGGTACGTAATTATGTGAAGTGAAAGTGATGTGTTCATATAAGTATTTGGCATGTGCTGTATAAGTGCGATTCGGTTTTGGGATATAACTTAATGAAGTGTTATGGCGGTTATGTACTTATTTACTAAATATGCTATTAAGTAGTCTCGTTTACATAATATTTCATGTTACATCGGTGTTGTGTAGGCTTAAAACATATTCGGTTTCAAATATGAGTGTTGTGGATTAGGATTACAGGTACTCGTATTTCTCGGTACTTACGTGGATGTATCAACTTATTTAATAAAAATATAAAATTCAAATAAGTCTGTCAGGTATTCTTATTAGAGTCTATCAATTGTGTTGCGACGGTAATATTTCCGATATAATTAAATACAATAATTAAAAACAAAATACTTCGATAAATATCACTAATTAATAACAAAACCTTTTTTTATATAATAATCATAGAAGATATAACAAAAAATTATATATTTAAATAAAATTAATAACCATATTTAACTATATACTGTAATAAATTTGCAAAATAATTAATCACAAATTAAGTGTAGAAAAACCATTTAATTTACTTATTAATTTTTTTAAAATGTAATCAAACAAATGTATATTAAAGCAATTTATCATCACCCTATTAACCTCAAAAATATCAATTAACAAACCTCAAAGTTGGAGCTTCCTAATTTGAAAGCAATAAGAGAAAGTTTTCATAAACAGCCTGACTGTTAAGATAAGGGGGCTCACTTTTATGCAAATTTAGTCCATCGCAGAAATTGACATTTTCGAGTTACAACAATTTACCCTCAACGCTTGTGCATGTATATTTTACTTTGTTACTCTTGTATTATTGCAAATTTACCTACCTAATGCATTATTATAAATATTCTCATATTAAATTATTACACATTTTTCACCTACTTTTAGGTGTTATTTTTTTATAGTAGTTATCGTTTATCAAACTTAAAGGATTTAATAAATAGGTAGCTGTCCAAGTTTAATTTTAACTTCTAATTGTAAACTTTACTTACAATCAGATTATCTTATGTTTCTTATTTATTTAGATATAGATGTATAAAAATACCTATATATATTAATTGATGCTTATATATGTTAAATTTTTACAAAGAGGGTTGACGTAAGGCAGGCAGCCGGTCGTAAAACTAAAAACCAAATCTTTTTGTAATATGGATAAAATCATATTACGCCGACCCCAAATGATTTGAATAAGGGTAGGAAGATGATGATATGTTAAATTTTACTAAAATATAAATTTACATCATAAGATAAAAGAAAAAAAAAGTAAGGTAAAAATGTTTACATTTGTTTATATTTATTTATATTTACTTTTTTCCTGTCTTTTGAATAACTAAATAATATAAAAATATTCTTAAAAACTATAAATATGTATTCTTTACCAATTAATATTAAAAATATATATTTATCGCTATAATAACTAAATAATATTTAACTATATTTAATCTTCTAAAATGTAGTAACTAAATGTCATACCACACAATGACTGACGTCAATATAATTAAGTTTCATGTCACCAAATAATTATTTCCAACAAGATAGCCTTTAGATAAAAATGAATGAAACGCTTGGGAATTCTTGACTAATTACTTTTACCTTTCTGCTGTAATTAAAATAAAGCAAGTAGCAGATTTCTTTCATGTTTAACATTATCATTTTAAAGATGTACTTTGCCTTTTGATTATTTTAATTATAATTATATTAAAAGTAGGCATAAAAAATATAATAATTAAATTAAATATTAATAAATAGTTAATACAATTTATTTATTATTATTATTTATGATTTATGATATTTTACAAGCGTAAGTAAACAAAAAAAATGTATTGTTTTATTGATTGTACTCGTACGATTTAATGGACTACAGTTGTTTTTTTTTTCTTTTTGCACATGCAGTTTTAATTCTTTAAAAAAACAAGTATAAAATGGAATGGATGTATTCTGTTTTTAAAATTTACAACACAGCGACGTTATATGTAGGTTTTTATAGTTTTTTTTAACGTATGGTTAATTTTATGCCTGATATACATTTGTATCAAAATTATATAGCATTGCATTATATGTAGTATTAAATATATTTAGAACTAGCTTTTACCTATGACTACGTTTGCGTAACCGAGATAGTTTTATTGATCGAAATAATAAGTAGCCTATGTCCTTTTCGATCCCATATGTATGACAAACTTTACAGTGATTGGTTAAGCCGTTAAGGCGCTGAGAGGTAAAAAAAAAACAAACTCACTTTTACATATATAATATTTACTAGCGTTTACTCGCGACTTCATCCGCGTGCCCGAAATATGTTCACTGATCAGAATAAAAAAATAATCTATATTGTTCTCCATCCCAACTAGTATGTTTATATTAAATTTTATAGTGTTATAGTTAACCATTGTTAAGCTGTTAAGGTGCCAAAAAGTGACAAGCAAACAGACAAACTCATTTTCACATGTATAATATTAGTAAAGATAATAACTACTTGCATTTCATAGTTTAATATTCTATTTTTAATATACCAACAAATAAATTGGTAGGAAGTACTCGTAAACACTAAATGGATAGGAATAACGTATTTTTTATGACATAATAATTCTATCAAGTGCATCAAGCCATTATGTCAGCCAGTGGTCCTAAAGACCAGCCTTGACCTCTGACGGGTTAAGCGGTAACCTATACGAACTTGCCTTTTGGAGCGCACATATGGAGTCTGTATTAAACTTTTTAATTTTTAGGGTTGAGAATTTAGTTCTTTATTTTTTTTTTTACTTAAAAAGGTTTTGATTTTTTTTTTTTGCTCAGAGTACACACGCGTGTCTATTTATGCTTTTCGTGTTGGTATACTTTCTCTGGAAAGGAAAACAGTGTACCAACATACAAAATTTAAGAAATCTTCAATCAGTGCTTTATTTAATTACAAAACTATTTTGATACCTAATCTTTGTACTCAAAATAATTACTATTGTTGTCAACCTTACTTTTATTGATATTTACAAAATGTTTTGTCCTGTCTTGACTAACTATCAACACACAGCCAAAACTACTAAGTCTAGAAGCGGAAATTTCGAATATAGAACAACCGCCTTATTCATAAGCACTAAAACCTTCTAAGTTATTTTAACTATTACACTGCTTCGTTACTTCTTAATAATTATATTATTAAGAATTAACAAAGCAGTGTAATATAATATAAAACTAATATTTAAATTCGGAATTTAACATTAAAGAAAGAGGCAAAACATTTCAAAAACTAAAATAGACTTATGAGAGATTAGACGTTTTCATAATTAAGGGGGTTATTTGTAAATATAAGTTAAAAAGAGTTTACGACGATACCATACGTTCAAAGCCGCGAGCAACAACTAGTTATACCTATAAAAATATAAAATATTGTCACGCTTAAAAATACACGAATTTAATGAAACAGGTTGTCTGAAAAAAATGGTTTAGCAATAAGACCGCCTTTTGTACTACACTACACTTATCGAAAATTCTTCAACAAATGTTGATGCGATAAAGTGTTAAATAAATAATATATAACAAAAAAATAAAAAATAAATTTAACTTTCTGCTTCATAATATTATTATTTTTACAATAGTATTATTATTTTATTCCTTAATTCATGTAAGTATTGCTTACATAGGCTACAATTAGTGTGTTTTTAGATGTAAATTTACTCTAGCAGTTTTAAAGCTAGCATTATTGAAATTTAACATCATCTTTCGAAATGTCATCGCCCATAATCCATTGTCTGCCATTGTATTGTCGTTATAATACGCGTTGGAATTAAAATAATTAACAATGCAAGCCATTGACGGCCTCTTACACAACACTGATACTAGCTCGGACACCTGTGCTTTTGTACGTTGAATGATTTAGACAAATTTAAAGTCATACCTTCACAAAACAATATAGACAGTGCTTTATAATATATATATATATATATATATATATATATATATATATATATATATATATATATATATATATATATATATATATATATATGAATATAAAATATTTTTTTTTATACAACTTAGAATGGCAAGCTGACGGCCCACCTGATGAAAAGTGGTAACCGTCGCCTATAGACATGAGCAGAGTATACTGTTTCGCCCATGATACCTCCCATGCATTGCCATTCCTGAGGACTACGGCGTTATTCCTCCGTACCCAGTAAATTCACGCCATATCCCACCCTTCAAACCGAAACACAATCATGCAAACACAATTGCTTTACGGTTGAAACACGAATGGGACAGAGATACACAAGCAGTCGACTTTTGTACAAAGTCTCCCTCGGGTAAAATGTATAAGAACCTTCTGCCATACTATTAAGACACTTTTTTATATTTCCAATTTTCTTATACAACGACAAATGTGTGGCATAGCGTAATTACCGCGTTTGCTAAAAATTGCTTTTTAAATTGTTTTTATCAGATATGAAATAATTGTTTCAAATTTTATATAATTTAGTTTGTTTGCTGATTGATATAATATATATTTTTTATGTTTTAATTTTTGTTATAATTGAGTTTCTTATTTAAATTTAGCACAGATTGAATTATATTTTATATATACATATTTATTTTTTTATCCATAATTAGGTTTGACACAATAAACTAGTTTCATTAGTAATTATTGATAGCTTAATAGGAGTCGAACGTAATATAAAAATGTCTCTTTACCTAATCTAATCATTCAGAAATGAAGTCATACTATTTCGTTTGAGGAAGTACGCTCTTAACTGCCTTCAAAATAAAGTCGTATTTACAAATATAACATTATATATATATTTTTATTAGTACCGACCTATTACTAAGTATATATATTTCTAAAATCTATATTCGTCGATAACCGCCCATTCCGATTCAGCACAAATGTTAATGAATGGGATTGTTTTTGATCTGAACAATGCAAATTTTTTAAACAAACTATCGTGTTATTTTGTAACGTGTTATCAGTTGAATGTAG